AATGCTTCGATCCGTAGTTTTCTGTAGGCTTTTCTAAGAATACGACGCAAATGCCGGAACTACCATAACAAAAAGGGGCACGGACCGAGCGCAATCTCTCCTTCCTCTTCTTTCACCGAGCCTAGCCTTCCCCTCCCCCCCCCACACACTTCCTTGCACTACACTACCACACATGTCAGTAGATGAGTCCGGAGCTTAGAGTATGTGCAGGCTGGGGCGGTGTCTGGCTAGAGGAGATAGCTGCATGGGGAAATATCCCGCAAGCTGGCGTGTAGGTCGACTCCGAATCTCACCATCCATCTGGAAAGGAACATAGCCACCTCACATAAAACATTCACTACACTAATGATACTATTAATCATAGCATTTCTCATGCCCGTTAGGCTGGGAGAGATGACTGCAGTGGAAAAATTCCATAAAATCCGTAAAGGTCGACGCCGGATGTCACCGTCCATCGGGGAAGGAACAACTCACACAAAACATTCACTACACTAACGGGACTCTTTATCATTGGTAGTGCCCATCAGGCTGGGAGAGGTAGCTGGATGGGGAAATATCCGGCAGGTCGACGGGTAGGTCGGCTTGGAATCTCACTGTTCAGCGGGAAAGGAACACCGAAAAAACCTCCCTACAGTAACGGGACTAAAGACCATAGCAGCAGTCGTTCCCATGCGAATGTGCCTGTGCGCGCGCAGGTGCGCTCGACCAACTCGTGGGGGCTGGGCGAGCGGCAGTCGTGGGCGGAGGCGGCGCTGGCGCTGGCGGCGGCGGCCGGCACGCGGCCCGGGGCGCTGCGCCTGGCGGGCGTCGCGTGGAGCGAGGAGCGCGAGCGCTGGGCGCTGCTGCCCAGCCACTGCCCGCCCGACGACGGCGACGAGGGCGACGGCCTGGGCGACGACGACGACGGCGACGCCGCCGGATGCCCGCTCATGCTCAGCGCCTCCGACGACTTCTCAGAGGTACGCGGGCGGATGCTTAGGGTCCCTTCACACAGCGACGCGCTACCGTACATCGCGGCTGGTAGCAGAGCATTGGTTTAAATGGAGCTCTTCCGATTCGAGCGTGGGCGCTTGCCACGAGCAGCCCGGAAGGGATTCCGCGCCACTAGCAAAGCATTGCTTCAAATGAAGGTCTTCCCACTTCTTCAGAGGCCCAGCCTCGGAGGACTTCTTGGAGATACGGTGTTAGCTTCTAATGTTCAGCGTCCTCAGTGGCCCTCTCAGAGATTCGGGGGAAGATGCTAATTCCAACAACTCTGAGAACACCTCGGAGGTCCGGGCTCAGAGCTTCGTACTTGTGCTCAACGCCTTAAAATAGTTCTCAGAGGTACGCGGGCGGATGCTCGTGCTGAGGGTTTTCGAGCGCTTCTCAGCGATACGGGGCCGACGAAGGCTTCGCGGAGTTGACGCGACAATTGCAAATGTTCAGCTTCGGAGTACGTAATGGTAAGAGGTTAGGCGCTCGTGCTCAGCACCTGAGTGGTTTTCTCAGAGGAATCGCTGCAGAAGCTCATGTTCGTCGCCTACGATGCCATCTCAGAGGTTGGGACACCCGCTCACGCTCAGCGGCCAGCGATCCTGGGTCAGTCGTTCGTGCTCAGCGCTTCCGAAAGCCTCTTCGAGGACCTGAGACAGTTGGACAGCGGGCCTTACACTTCTCGTAGGTATGAGGACACACGCTCTTGCTCAGTGCCTCCGACGTCCCAAGGGCGCCTCGGACCTGGGGGTCCTACGACATTCCCGACCGACATCTGGCGGATGTTTTGATTGATTAGTGATTCCGGGCGCGTCAACGACGAAGTTAGTCCCGTAAGTGAAATTCACGCTTATTTCTTGGAATTGCTGATTATTTTCCCCTTCTGGTTGAAGAAATCCAGTTGCGAACTACACGACGGCTAGCGGGGTTTTCCCCAACCAGGTATCTCCAACCAGCATCTCCCCAGCTAACTAGACAAGCTCTTCCGTCGGAGGGGTAGTGGAGTCCACGTAAGTGTAAGTGTGTGTAAGTGATGAGGAAATGGAAGGAAAGGTTGCGCGCGGTCCGTGGCTCTTTTGTTATGGTACTGCTCTGACATCCGCCTGGTATCGATCAGAGCACCCGTCTTCTAGAATTCTCCTTCAAGCGGCAGCTGAATTCGACGTAGCTATGTAGCTGGTGTCAAAACGTCTGCCGTCGTTGGGATCTCTACGGCTAGGACCTCTCAGTCAAAGGGCACTGAAGTGGCTTCACTTGATGCCCTGAGCCACCTAAGCCGACTGTCTTTCAAAGCTAGGTCACCGGAGAATTCCCACTGCCTGCCCCGCAGTGTGTTATCAATTCCAGGCGAATACCTTCTCATAGCAGCCACGGATCAATTGCGATCTTTCCATCCTCACCGTTGTCGCCTCCTCTACCCTTACAAACACATTCACACTTACGTGCCTTACACTACCTCATATATCGTGAGTGCAGTGAGGAAGTTAGATCTTCTCCCGGCTGGAGCAGATTCCCGTTCGGGGCGATTCTGAAGGACAAAAACCCTGCAAGCCGACACACAGGTCGGCGTCGGATCTCACATAACATCGGGGTACGAACACTTCCACCTCTCAGGATATAAAACACTGTACACTCGCGGGACTGATGACCGTAGCAGCCCCGAAACGCGTAATAACCAATCAATAATCAACTACTCCTGGAATTGACGATCGTGTGTATGCGTAGGTGGAAGCTATATGGCTGCAGGGCACGAGCGGGCTAGTGATGCTGGACGCCAAGTTCGTGCCCCTGTCGGGCAGCCTGCTGCTGGTGGCGGTGATGCGGCCCGCCCGCCCCCCTGCCGCCGCCTTCGACTCCCGTCTGTTCGCGTTCTCCCCGACTGGGCGAGCGCTGCTACAGGATGCCCCGCTCCCTCCCGGCATACGCGCCTTCGAATTCGTGTAGCGCCGAGCAGTCCGGAGGACATTAGCATCAACTTTTAACACGAACATTTCGCCGTGCTCGTCATTAAGAACGTAAATACAACCACTCACTAGTATCGATACAATAAATAGTCGGTCCAGAAATACTATATACGATTTGAACGACATTAAGTAAATGCAATCGCGCTTGGATGATAATTATTTTGTTTAACATGATCTTCCTGAACCGGGCGTTTAATGAGCAATGAAGACGATGCGTGACATTTTAGGCATTAGTTCGTGTCTAACGAAAACACTAAGTTCTTCACATCTCGATGTCGTTGACAATGGCGTGTTGGTATCCATTCGTGTGAACGTGAAAGCTTTACCGTTTACGTTGCGTTTTTTTGTGAATGAGACACGATAGAAAAATTATGATTGGAGATTTTATGTAAGAAAATTTTTCCCGTCAAAATGTGTAAAACTGAAGAAATATAATGATTTGTGTAAAATTATACTACTTATTTTGTCTCCATGTAGTATTATACAGTATGTTGTGCTCAATACAATATGCATTATATTCGATTAAGGCTCTCATGCAGTTGCTTTTGTAAACATCTTTACTGCACATATACTTTTATGAGAATAATTATACAGTATTTAGCTGATACTTTATTACCTTCCTCGATAATATAAAAAATAAGTTGTTTAAATATTGTAATAATATTACTTTTCCCGCTCCTTAGATGTTCATTATTAAGCTGGAACTACTTGGACCAATACTTTTCTTTAATAAAGGTCTTACCCTGGGCCTTCTGCTCTCTAGTGTAATGACTGGAAGTGAAAATAGAGTTGGTGTACTATCCGCTCACATTTTGTTCATACTTCACACGGAGAGAAAGGTTTTGCATCTGAAAGAAGCCAAATAAAGTTACACTTCAACCAAAATTTTAAATCATTTTTTTAGTGTTATACAGTATCGTACTTGTAAGTGTATGTACTTGCCTGGATACATAAAAGTGTTTCAAACATGAATCACTGGAAAATACCCAAGAAAGTACTGTAACGTACAAGAGGAATCGAAAGAAGTGTAGTCGTTTTGTGGCTTCCATCTAGCAGACAACTGATGATGATGGCTAAGCCATCGAAAGCTGCTTTTGAATTAAAAAACATTGTTGGCAATGACAACATCTTCAATTATTGATTCAGGTCACTTACCCTATCAAGAGTCTATTGCACTTACTGGAAGCAGTAACTCTGAATGTGCAACTCTGAATCGCGCTGTGCTCTAGTATGGAAAAAATAGTGGCTGTCGTTTTCAACTGCTCCTGAAGAAGTGCTGCAACTTGCTCTCCGCAAACTCATGCGGGCTGCCACTCGGCAGGAGTTTTCATTTCCCTCCTCCCAATTTTCGTTGGTCATGTTATGTGAAGTAAGGCACATGGAATCCGTGTCCAGTTGTTTAGGCGCGAAACTACCATCTAAGTCATGAAAGAAAACGACCCATTTTCTATGTCAGGTAACCCCAAAACGTGTATTTCCGTTAAAATCTCGAAATCGATTTGCCGCACCATTACATAACTTTCTCCGTACTAAGTATATACGTACGTAAGTACGTACGTATATGAGTAAGTAACTAGTGCTACAATAGCACGAACTTTCTCGCACCAGGAACTGAAAATTATATTACCATAATTTCTGCCCGTATTAACGCATCTCAGCAATTAATTGTAAAAGTCATTAACAATCGTGGGGCAATACGAACTAAAACTTAATTCATTCAAAACGAATACATCAACACAAATTCAACAATTCAAAACTGTTCCCTGCTCCCAGATATACTTCCCAATACAGAGAAATTATACAGTACGAGTTTTTCTGTTACAGTATTACAATACTCTCTCTACGTGCGTAGCAAGACGAGAAAGTGAAAATAACTCTCACTGCACTCTCACAAAATGCTCTCTTAAAAACATAGAAATAGCAATTTTAAATCAATTTCCTGTTAATATATTTTTGCAGTCGAAATTGTTACCTTTCCAATTCTGAGATGCTGGATTCTTCAATATTGAGTTTCAGATGTAATTGAGTTTGTTAATCTTAAAGAAACTATATCAAATAAGTCAGATAAGGATTAAAAACACCGAAGGCTATTTTAACTATGATATAAAATTACACATGCAAAAATAAATTCTAATCAAGTCAAATATAATGGTTTTGCATTCTCTTAAGTATACACGTGTATCCACATAACACGTCAGATATCATTCATTTCATTCTTGTCTCGGGCGTTGTCACATTGTTTTTCAAATTGCCGTACTGAACACTTAAAAATAATAATTTGAAGATCATTCGAAGTGTAATGACATATAATTCAGTTTTTTAAACTATATTTTTTGGCAAAGTGGTAAATGAAACAATCAATGAAAGAAATACGGTATTAGAAAATAGGAATGTTAAAAGGGAAATTTCAAGCGATATTTTATTGATTTTAGATCATTTCATAACAAAGTAATGCCTTTTCAAGACCTGTAAATAATTGTAGTAGGCGCTAGGAAGTTATTCATGCACAAACATCCCAAACACAAAAAAGAATGGCACAACATTATCAACTCAAAAGCCCTGGTTAATTATTTTAATTTTTAAACTGACAATGAGTTTTAAAAAAAGGGCAACCAGCACTCCCACAAACAAATTAAAATACACATTCTCAAAAACATTAACAGCAAAACAGATCAAGATCAAATTTTGTACAGGAAAGAAAAATAGTGTTCTTTCTTTAAAATTATTTTCTTCTGAATCTTTTCTTTTCAATATTTATGTTTAATATACATAACATATACATATAATTATACAACATTTAATATACAACTTTTCAGAAATTATTTATGAGAGCATATTAACAAGTTAAAACATTTACAACAAAATGCAAGCTAAAAAACATGCTTCTCAAATGGAATTATTACAGAAGCAAGGTACATTTTCCCCACTAGACTTTCTTGCCAAAAAGAGAATTATATAGTTCATTAACAGCCTTGTCATTCCACATTGTAGAAGACTCGACAGGTGCCATGAAGCCCACCAGCTTCTGATGGGGATCGTAGCGCAAGCGACGACCCTTAGTTGCCCGAGTGTCAACCTTACGCTTCATTTTGGTGCGCAGTTTCTGAAGAGCTGCCCAACGTCGTCCAAGTGTATTCGCATCGGTCGAGTCATCTGACCGCCTTTCAATCAGCTCTCGCAGAAGCTACAGGAAAAGAAAGAAAAGTGAAAATAATAATAATTATTGTGAGAACAATATTTTATTTACACTAATACAAAGAGCTTCAGTTTTATGGCAATAAATTTGATTGAAACTCCTTCAATTATTTGCTTAAGGATCCCTCCTTTAGAAACATTTCAGAAAATATTACTCATGTTAGAATGCAGATGGAAAAGGTTTGCCGACATCTTGTATTATGGCAATATTCATCTTATACAAGTTGTTGTTTCCTCCCCCACCCCACTTAAATTTGTTTATATTTACCTGTAAGTTTCAAAATAACAGGAATTTATCATTTTACAAAGATGCTTTATTCAACAAGAAATTAATATTTTAAAACTTGCATTAAAATTTACCTGATGATAAAAATCGCTATCATCAAAGATCTCTGGATCATGATCAGGTTGCAAGTTCTCAGAAGGCTCTGGTTCTCCTAAGATTTGACCAACAGTGCGAGGCACACGAGTGCGTTGCAAAAGGCGAGTACGGTTGCTAAGGACATGGCGAATTTGTTGCAGAGTGCTCTGTTCAAATGCTGAAAAATCACGACTGCTGGCTTTACCAGTAATAAGTCTTGTACGATCATTCCACTTCTGGATTGTTGCATCACGGAACTCCAAGTATTGTTTGTGAACAGAATTTAACACATCTTCATAATCCTCACAATGCCGTCTCTTCTTTTTAGAAGGCTCAGCTTTTAATGATTCATCATCACCATCATCATCATCACCACCACCTTCACCATCTACATCAGAATCACTTGGTATTTCTTCATCAGAAACACTTTTCCCTTTTTTAGTTTTTTGCCCCAATTTTTTTGTTTCACTATAATTTTTAATTAGTGTTTCTTGAAGATCAACAAGTTTATCTAATAACTTTCTGACATTGCGTGTAGTTTTTTTCATTTCTGAAGCAAATTGTTGACCCCCCTCTTGTTTAAATTGCTCTATTTTGTAGTGCTTAGGAAATCTATTTGCAGGAATGAGACACTTCTGCAAGTGTATCCTACATTCAAGAAGATTATCCCATAAATTTAGTTGATTTCTGACAGCTTTACCTTTTTCTATCTCTGATTCCACATTCTTCGCAGACGACACATGCTGGAAAGTTTCATCACCTTCCTCTTCATCATCATCTTCCTCCATGGCTTCAGTATTTTTTGAATTCATTATAGAGTATTCATCATTATCTGCACTTTCATAATCTTCCATATCACTATTTTCATCTGAGTCACCACCCAGTTCCTCCTCATTGCTTTCATCTTTATTGTCTTCTACCTCTTCTCCCGCAGATTTAAAGTCTTCTGAATCAGATGATTCGGGATGTTGGAGAAGCACAGGTTCTGGCTCCTCTGAAGATTCAATTTCACTATCTTCAGCAACCCCAACATCTCTCCTTGAAATCTTTTTACCCGTATATCGAGGATCATCATCGAGTGCCGCACTCTGCTTTAAAATTGGCCGGTGTAGTTTCTCGTCTCCACTAAACTCATCTTCAAATTCTTCTATTACTTTTGCTCTCGTATCAAAATCAAACTCATCATCTGAACCAATTTCTGGAGCAGGTTGCAAGAATTCTGCTATCTGATCGAGAGTTGACTTGCGTTTTGATGACATCTTAATGATATAAATATAATGCACAATTTATTCACTTGAACATTCACACGCTGCCCACCCTAACCTTACACTCTGTCATCCAAAACTTATTTAGTCTCTATGATTAAATCCAATTTCACAAAATGTTTCATATATTACGAACAAAAACACAATAAATTCTTATTAAAAACGAATTAAATCACTTTACTTATCACAATGGCGTGTTTTTTAAGGAACACATGGTTAAGGTCGACATAACCAGACTAACAAAACAGCGCGTTAGCCATTTCACATTTTGCCAACGACACAGTATTTGATATGAAGTCTTATCCAATTTTGTTTTGTTTTATGTTCTTCACCTGGTTGGTAATTTTTCTTTACACAAAATCGTAGCGTTAGTATTCCGAGAACAACGCTAAGAGACTAAAAATGTAGTTTGAGATTAACATATTTACAGTAGGTGAGATGCATGGAGAGTGGCAATACTGGAATCACAAGTGAACTCCATACAAAATATTCTCTTTGATGCAATTCGCAATTTAACTGCCTTCGACTCAAGGAGTAAGTATATCTGAGACAGCACTCAATGTTAAAAGGGAAATCCTCATTCGCCCAATAGAAATTATACAGATATGTGGCGGCACCGGATATTGGCCAAACGGACAGCCAATAGCGAAGGTGTAACCGGTAAATTTGAAATGAATCAGCCATACACTAAAATTCCACTCCCATAATTTATCAAACAATTCACAATAATAATTATAAGGAATTCATGAAAGAAAAAAGTCAAATTGGAGCAGTAAAATTAGTATTTATTGAGCATATTGATATTACACAATTTTAGTAGAATTAACGGCTGAAGTTTAGCATACGGTACAACTCACTGAAGTTTCAGAACGGCACTTCGCGCCGCTCCGGCGGTTACTGCGCAGTTTGACATTTGAAAGCTTTCTTGGAAAGTGCTTTCTTATAAAAACGAATTGGTAATTATGCGGTGGATACTCAAGGATGTTTATAGTAAACGCGATGGCCGAAGACTTGACTTGGATCCGAGAGAACGAAGCGAGATTTGCCGTTGAAAGTAAATTGGCATTACATTCCGGCGGGGACAAAGCGTATGAAGGGCGAGCCATGAAAATCGCCTATCCGTAAGTTTTATTTCCATCAGTGTGCATAGCGTAATTTAAGGGAGGGCTTAAGGAGACACTTCCCCTCGACGTCACGCTTCTCTGAGGATGTACCATGTACCCTACTTTAACTGAATTAACAATTTTGTATTACATAAGGCAATAAACATAGAACACCAGTTCAAATGCCACTTTACTAGCTTGTAGACAGGCAAAATTAATGTGAATACTATGGAATACAATATTACAGAGCAATACGTATGAACAATACCAAGCACTGAAAAGAAACAAATCAAAACATAACCGCATATACAAATAGTTATGATAGAAGTACCATTTTATTTTGAGAGTTGGAAAGATAGCTTCACAAAGTCGATATACCAGCTGCCCCAATTCTACGTGCAAAATAAAATCACTTTCATTACGTGTTTTTAAACAGTATTACTGCCTTTCATTTTATTTTAATCCAAGAATACAAAGCACTTAACATGTTCACTGTCGATAAGTCATAAATGGTTCACAAAATGAAACACCCAATAGTTTTAAATCTCCCTGAACATGTTTGCTTACAAAAGTTTACAACATCACAGGCAAATATATCTATGAACTTGCTGTAGCTGCACAGATTTTGAATTGGCATTCATTTTGATTTTCCTAGGATGGTCCTAGAATTTTGAAATACACATGGAAGAGTAGAAAAATATTTCAATTTTTGAGAAAATAACAATAAAATTAATATTATAAAGTTGTTCAAACCTGCAGATATATTTCGATGTTTTCAAAGGGACAGGGAATATGTGAATTATGAACTTGGTTGCATTAAGGTCAGTAGTACCTGATTAGGAGCCATCTCTGGAATAGGATCTGAAAAGCAAAAAATGCTGTTAAGAAAGATACTATGTCCTCAAATGAATATTCCAAAAACAAATCTACATCAAAAAGAAAATTTTTTTTTCTAATCTAGCATCTCGAATCACAAAATTAGAAAGTACAGGAATATCTTGCACTTACCACACACCGAAGTCACAGATTCATCTTCTAGAATGGCTTTGTGTGGTACAGCAGTACAAGGATCTGTAATCACCAACCACAAAAAAAGATTTGTTTTTATTTTCTATAATTTACACTCAACTGATACTAATAACTGTATATTCAAAGGAAAAACTTACAATGAGAAATATCCATAAAAACTTTTAAGTGGCACTTAACATGGGTGAAAAAGATCGGAAAATGGCAACAAATATGAAATTTTTCCACTTTCAAAATATGCAACAAAGTGATAATTAAGTTTCTTAAAGATTATAGTGAATACTTACCATTAACAAGGCTAGCACATGCATCAGTCGCACATGATGTAGCAGCATACTGAACAGCCCAAGAACCTGTATTAATCAACAACAAATTATTACCAATACATATGCTTTCAATAGCATGCTTCTATTTGCATTTCACACACATACAAGAAACTTACCTTTTTCAGTTTAAAGTGCTGCCTGTGTACAAGGATCTGAAAATTAAAAAATACTGGTAAGAAAGTCTCCCATCGAACTATTATGTAATTAAAATGAATATCACAAAAACAAAATTGTATGCACATGTATAATCTCAAACTATCTGTCCTGTTTGAAGTTCTATTGTCAACAGGGACAGATGAACTATAAATTTAAGAAGAAGAAAAATCTACTAAAAAGTCTTACCAGTTACACCCAATGCTATTGTGGGTGTCACCTCGGTTGGTTCAAAGAAGTGATCTGCAAATGAACAAGAACATTAAAAAAATTCTACAATTTACAACTGAATTATTTGAATGCATTTTCAAAGCAAAAACCATGAATTCTGGCAGCAAATGTACCATTCTCTGGTATTAGTTTCTGTACCCAGAAATGATATTTACTTAGGCTATCCGATGAGGCACATTCATTCAAATTATTTACTATTTTATAACAATGCATACTGCCCAAACTGTTCTCAAACAAATAAATTCTACTTATTTCTATTGAGAAGTCTTACCGGGTCCAAATTTTTTGGTGGACTTTGAATCTGGATATCTGAAATTGAAAAAATCATTAGAGTATCACTTTATGACACACTACTGAAATGCCTGAATGCACATAGAAGAAAAGAACACTTCCTTTTACTGGAACGCTTGCATTTAAATCCCGCAATCCTGCTTTGCAAAGGGGATTTTGTGGTTCTGAGATTTTACTGGAACAACATGATTACACGTCCTTCAAGTGTCAGATATAATGCTGTTCCAGAAAATTTTCCATGTATTTACTGCTCGTGAGATGCTTCCATGTGTATTAGGGGAGAGAAGGGTCCCCAATAGCTTTACGCCATTCTCTACACCTAAAACAAATATATATAATTTTTAGAGGCACCATTGAACAAAAGTATAATAACGAAGCATCGACAAACTACATGCATAAAAATGAACGATAACACAAATGTAACTCACTTTTCACGGATCTTGGGAACCCCAATAGACGTTTTAATGGCTAATTTCTCTTTTGCAATTGGGCACCCAGCATCTTCTCGATGCCCGCCGAAATAATGCACGCTTCAGACTTCAAAAGTAGCAGTAAATCACAAAATTTCACGAATTCACTGGCCGCTAACTCTCGTTAACGGCGCCAAAAATAGCGTGTGAATGAAACTTCTTTCGGTCAAGGAAGGAATCCAACTGTAATCACCCGGTCCGAACGCGGAAAAATTTCAAATGAGTAGTTCACCAATTCTCCGCTAGAGTGAGTTAAAGTTGTACAGATGAATATGGCGTCGCTCTGAACTCTGATTGGTTACTGTACGGAATTTGAATCATTTGAGTAAGGACCGGACTTGCTGCCTATCTAGTGTCAAGACCAAAGAGTATATAAGTCAAGACGACTGGGAGTTATAAGGCCCTGGTGTCCTCAATTAGCTAGAACTACGTTCTTGGCGATCGAGTGTCGTCTTTGTTCTGTCATTAGTGTTGTGTTTATCTGGTGAACGATTTTCCTGTTCTAATATATTCATTATATCTGCTTTTTTATCGGCAAAGATGTCGGAAGTAGAGGAAAGTGCAACACTGCAAGATGACTCAACTGACAAAAAGGAAGACGATGTATCGCCTGATGATGGTACCTCTGAAGAAAATACTCCTCAAGAATCTCCTTCGGATATAGAGAAACAGGAAGAAGCAAAATTGAAAGCAAAATTTCCTATGGCGGGCAGGCCGATGAGCGGTCATTCAGTGTTCTTACAAAAGAGACTTGCCAATCGGCAAAAATATTTTGATTCCGGAGATTACCAAATGGCGAAACAAAAATCGGCTGCAAAAGCTCGACAAATACCAGTTGGTTTGACTAATGTGACTGGTGATGCCATTCCAACTCCAGAAACTGTGCCTGTCAGAAAAGCATCCATCATACAACCTTGCAAATTTACTCCAACTTCAAACACATAGGAGTTGATATTGCCTTATTCCTCCACAAGATATTTATGTACATTGAAAGACTTGGCTATTGTGTGTTTTTTATGGTTAAAAATATTTCTTGGTTTTGTTAGTTGTCTCTTGGTTCTCAGAACAACTTAAACAGGCATTATTCTACTTACCCAACATTGCTCAGAATGATTCTTCAGATTTGTAGAAAAATTCTTAAATATTTCTTCTTGAACTTTATATATGTTGGCATGAAAATTGCTGAGCAGCTTAAAGCTTGATTTTCAAGCATAATACGTCCTCATTGGTAATTTTTAAAAGACGTGTGCTTATTTCTGTGCCATTAGTTGGTAGAAAAACTGTGATTAAGGCAATTTGTGTAATTAAATTTTCTCGCTTTCAAGATTTTGTGTAATTCTTTTTCCCTTTCTGCATTTGTTTTTTTGAAATGTAAGAATATGAAATATGTTAGAATAGCTAGTTTTATTACTATATTTCTTTAAAGTCATAATACAGCAACAATAAGCATAAAGTATTTTATTTTATGTAATTGTGAAATAAAATGTTGACATTGTTTAAAATTTATACATATATTCTTATTTTTAACATCATTCAACTTCAATTTTTCTATGATGGTGAATGTGAAGTTTACATGTTGGGATGTTTTTAAATATTTTGATAAAATTGTCAATAGAAATATTTGCAAATCAAATTCCTGAACTTCCAAATTTGTATGTTTAAGTTATACCAATAATTTGATCAAAATGTAGAGCTTTTATGACCATGCTTGTAAATAACAACAGTTGACACAGCTAACACATGAATAACCAGGTTAAGCTTTTTCTGGAATTGACTCATTCTTGAAAATGTATTGCAAATGTCCTTAATATACAGTTTGCTTTAAAAGTCTAAAACAAAATGCATTTAGTATTGTATTCAAGTAAACAGTAGTTCATTTATTGATATTAATATAATAGCCTGATATTTTTTTAGATACCCTTCTTTTTTTTAATTTTTAGTTCTAAAAAATACTTAATTTTGGATTAATTGTTAAAATTTATGGTCTTACTGGATTCCTTCAAATTTTAGAATATTCTTCAATATAGTTTCAATTTTATGATAATGACTGAATGAAAAAGTCACTTTTTTGAACTAGAACAGTACCTTATAGCAAGGCAAAATTGTGAAATAAGAGTGCAAGACTCACAATTGACGGTTATTATGCTTTTAGATGTGTAGAATTGTGGGAAAAGAAAAAATATATATTCTAGATATTAATTGATAAAAATTAGCACAAATGTGTAGGAGAAATAAGTGGTAATTTATAATTAGGAAAATGTTGCATATTTAATTAACTTGGTTTCTGTTTCAAATAACTTGGAAATAAGTTAATTTTCTACTGACATTCTTTAAATTTAGTTTTATTACTAATTGTAGTACATGAGTACGGTAGCACTGTCAGTTTAAGACAATTTATATGAGAGCATTTTATGGATTAACTACATTTCCTGATGCCAAATAATGACCTCCACATAATGTTCAGTATAACCAGGAAGAGAAATGTCCCAAAGCTTGTTTGTTTTTTTTCAGTGAGCATTCTAGTTAAGGACGGAGTGGAACTTTTTTTTTTCAGTAAGCATTCTAGTTAAGGAAGTATCACACTTCTGGAGAAAGGCTAAAACAGAATTTAATCATGTTTGATTTAACTTTTTCGTTATGCTTTTGTTTCGATAGGTAGCCTTAAATTATGGGCTCTTCCAAAAGATGAAAAGGAAATTTGGTTTATTCAAATCAGGAGATTTTTCTGTCCAAAAGGGAAGATAATCAGAAGTTATTATCTCTCTGACAAAGTTGTAATTTCTCATTAGATGATGTATAGATATAAATGTAACAATGACAGTTTTGAATGTCTCATCCCTTATGGGACAAAGGAAGTTAAATTTCTGAAGTACATACATATGTTTAAATCTATATGTGCTTAACTGATTTATGTTATTCAATACTAATTAAACTTGAATTATTCTGGAAGCATTTTATTATCTGTTGTTTTCTTTCTTGATATTTCCCCTCGGGTGCCATTTCTGTGTGCCATATGTAAAGTTAAATTTATGTATTCTTTTGCCTGATTTACAAATACTGATCATTGCAATTCCATTTCAGTTTTGACTGCCATAGGTTTTTGTTTTTTGGGGAGTGATTATTTGTAATTACATAAATAGAAAGGCTAATCATTATATTTCTACGTTTGTATATAATATTCTCTTTAGATTTTCATTTTGTTTTAGAATAATGTCTAGTTGTATTTTCTCACCCACTTTTTAATTTAATTCTGCCTAATGTTATTTTGGAATACTAATTATACCTTAGAAAAGACAATGTAATTATCAAGAACAGGGTTTTATTGTCATTTAAATGGGTATATTTTTTTCTGGGCAAGTTTACTTAGCTCTGGAACATGCAAAGGGTTGGATTTGAAGTGGTGAACATAGTAGCTATTCTCTATGTTTCTACCTTGCATTTGAGATTATTAATTAGTTGGCAGGTGACAGTTGGGCATATACTTACAGGAAAAAAAAAATTCATATAGAACAAAATTCCTGAGGATATAAAAACAATTGTGTTGTATACCTTTCTGTTACATTATTATTATTATTATCAATTTTGGATAGGCCAATAGGTGACCAAGTTTACTTTTGAGAGATTAATTACAATTAGAAATACATGTAAATTTAAGGGATATATTATTGTATCAAATTACTTCATAGAATTTGCATTTATGGTTGCCTTTAAACCAGAACACTGTAAGTGACATTTTATAAATTCTGAGAAATCCATGAGTATATTTTAGTCAATATCGCTATAAAGTTGTGGTGTTTTATTTCATCATTAATACCACACCATTAAAGTCTCGCCACGTAAAATAAGGCATTAATTCAATTCAATTAAATTGCTCATTAAAACTACGAAAATACATTGCCACTGACATGTAGCCTAAAATAAATACATTTTCCTCAGAATTTATAAAATGTCATGTACTGTTCTGATTTTCACCCATTCATATTCTTCTACCATTAATGTACTTCGGCTCTGTGCTGAAGTTTTTGGAGGTTATTAAAGGTTAAAAGAGAGAACAGAAGATGGTTTCTTAAAAGCAGATTTTTTATTTTCTACTATAACTATGAAGATGCCTTAGTAAAATGTCATGTAGAACACTGGAAAACAACACATAATTTAATTGGTACTTGGGTTCATATTTTATATTGCTTATAACAAATCATGAATTATGATTTTTGTACCCTGACACCCAATAATTATTTCACTTATTCCAGAGTCCTTACATTATGGCACCAATCATAACATTTCACTACCATTTTCTCAACTGAAAACAAATGTTTATGTATATATACAGCTCTGTTGCATTTACTTTGAAACTAGATTAAACATTCCTTTATTACAAAATGTTTACCTAAAATATACATATTTCCAATAGCTTTTAGAGTGGTCTCTTTAATAGTTGTTTAATTTCACATTCAAATCTATTTCTTTTATGTTTACAGCACACAGTACACAATTCTATCAAAATATAATTAGTATATACACGCTGGCTTTGAGCATATTTTGGACACTAACCGGCACCACAACAGAACACACGAATACTGCACTAGTGCTGGTCATGCAGGCCTAGGGAAAATTACAAGCTCCTGTGGGTGAGTGAAATTAAACGACAAATAAACAAGGAAGCTTATTTGTCCAATGACCCAGTATATAAAACATCAAGGAATGCAATAACTAGTCTCTGGTCTAATATATTATCAAACTACTATACCTCAACAGATATTATGTAATAATTCAAAAAAACAAATATACCTACTAGAAATATTGGAAGGGAAAGTTAACATGCTTATGTGTCTTAATCATATAGCTTTCAAAATCTTATACAGTCTTTATAAAGATGAGAATTTTTCATACATTTACATTATACTTTACCTAGCTAAGACAATAGGTGGAGGGCTAGGTGAAGGAACTTTTACCACAGAACACTATAATTAAATTCTGAAAGACACTAACACAATAGACTGACTTTTTGGTATTTTTCATGTCTGTCCCATTAGTCTCATATTACACTGTACAGGCTCTTTAGACAAAATCTGATGATATATTAGTTTCCAAACTGAAGTATGATGTATTTATTTCACAGGAGCACAAGCACATCCACAAAATAAAATTAAACAGAGCACATTTGACCTGCACATTTGACACAGCAATCGACTTCTATGTGCTGACTACGTTCAGTATATACAAAGAGGCACAGGAAGCTTGTATCCTGAGAGAAAGGTCCTCTGCAGAACCGTCTGGAGCAATTGCAAATTTGAACAGGTAGTGGAGTAGGATTAAGAATGGAACAGGCCTAGGCAAAGAAGGTGAATGGTCAAAGAGGAGTTGAGGTTTTGGCAAGAGGGTAGGCCATAATCAGAAGGCAGAGGAACCTATGGTACGGCGTATTTGTTCGAAAGTAAGCCAGAATGTGAGTGACCAAGGGGCCATGCGGATCCAAACTGGTAGAAAGCCCTTGTACAGAGCCATCAAGCCCTCTAGCTCCACAGTCTTGGTCAAACAGTCAAGCGATGATTTGTACAGCAGACCCCTGTGGAAACCATTTGACTTTATTAAACAATGAACATATTTGCAGAATCAGATCTTGAAATTATTTGCACTTACACATTCACTTAAGTTATTTAAACACATCTTTTGAGTAAGTTTATTTAACTCTCCCTAATGCAATTTACACAAGATTTCTAGTAGTACTGACTACAAAAATTCTTTTAACTATTATACTCTTCATAAGAATTTAAAAAAAATACTTAAAGTGTTTGGAGTAAAAACAATATTTAGAATCCTCCTGCTATATGTCAATATCTTGATTTTGGCTCAGTGTTTATAATTTTGAAGGGTGACTGCATCAGTCTCAAGGTAAGCAAAACCTGGACTAAAATTACATCACTATACAGTTTACAATTGATATC